CTTGTAGTGCGGCGCCCAGAACTGGACACAGTACTCCAGCTGCGGCCTGACCAGCGCCGCATAGAGGAGGAGCAAGACCTCTCTGGACCTGTTAGTGATGCCCCTGTTGATGCATGACAGGGTGCGGTTGGCTCTGCCTATTGCTTCATCTCATTGACAACGCATATTCATCCTGGAGTGAATCATGACTCCAAGATCTCGCTCTGCCTCTGTGCTGCTGAGAGGGTCAGCTCCTAACCTATAACCATAATGCTGGTTCACTCTCCCCAGGTGCAGCACCCTGCACTTGTCCTTGTTGAACTGCATCCTGTTCAGATCCACCCACTTCTCCAACCTATCCAGGTCTGCCTGGATGCGGTCCCTGCCTGCCGGTGTATTCACTTTACCCCATAGCTTGGTGTCATCAGCGAACTTGAGATACATCTGTATTTCATGGATGATATAATCCCAGAGAAGCTGCAGAAGTGTTTAGTTATCCTTCCACTGATGCCTAACACAAGTTATATGAGAGTTGGAACAAGCAGCACTCTTATTTAATGCTAGTCACATCACTCCCTTGTGTACTGCTTGCTATAGATATAGATATGTTTTATCTATAGTAGCCCAATGAGCTGATAAGTTTTGGCCTGACCTTTGACCTTAGCCTTAACAGGTAACAGACTGTAGATAAGGCCGCCTCACACTTCCCATTATGAAGATCCTGCTTTAGACTGCATATGGCACTGACAGCTTTAAAACAATGAGCCAAAATATTCCACGCTAGATGTCTGCCTCAGCCTGTTTGATTTTTTTTATTGAAAATTTCAGTAAAATCAGTTCAGCTCATTCTGAAAAAGAAATGAGAGGGAAATGTACTGCTTTACTCATATCAAAATAAATGAGTGAGTGTGCTTTTGATTACTCTGTTACTTTTGTGTCTATTAGAAACTTACCTCCAGGGAAGTTGCATCCTATTCCCACAATGGCAATTTCATCCCCAGGCTCCATGATTTTCAAATTTTATTCTTGAGCTGCAGAATATACTTACAGAGGTCACAAAATTCAAATGGAATGATGTGTTTCTCATTAAATGCAGGTATTAGTATTGAAAATTAACATTCCGAAATACACTGGCCTACACAAAACTGGAATAAATCTCAAGTTTCCTGTGGGCTCTGGTGAGGATGGGATTCATATTACCAAATGGTGACCAGATTTCTACTGTTCCAATCTGTTGTTGGCAGGAAAGCTACTTCCTTTGCACCCTGACACTCAGGTCACGGGACTGCCCATATATACTTTCATACACACTACCACTTCTTTTTTCATCCTTTCACTCATTTCAACATGTTCAGAAAGACAGAATTGCACATATGCACACACCCACATAAGCTACATACCTATTCTTACTAATGTGTTTTTCAGTTCCTTTGACAGAAGGCAGGATTGAGTTGTACCTTATAGACTGACTAAATCAGGGATACAACTTTCATAAGCAATAGCTCACTTTATCAGATTCTATACCCTTTCATATCATCTGATGAAATGAACTGTTGCTTATGAAAGTTTATGCATTTCTGATTTAGTAGTCTAAAGCTTAAACTCTACCATACCTTTTGTCTAATTTAAGACTAACATGGCTAACTACCAGTCCCTTTGACAGCAGAGATATTTAAGGAATGGGAAGACCCCTCTTATCAGCAAAACCTTTAGAATTCCTTCCGTCCATTTCTTGAGACCAAGATTTAAATGTTAATTCTATTATATATACTACTATTGTGCTGTATCAATGTGTTTTGTTTCATAGATTTCATAGACATTAGAGCTGGAAGGGACCTTGGAAGATCATCGAGTCCAGCCCCCTGCCCAAAGGGCAGGAAGTCAGCTGGGGTCATAGGATCCCAGCAAAATAAGCATCCAATTTGCTCTTGAAGGCGTTCAATGTAGGTGCTTGAACCACCTCCGACGGCAGGCTGTTCCAGACCTTGGGGGGCTCGGACAGTAAAGAAATTCTTCCTTATGTCCAGCCTGAAATGGTCTTGCAGTAGTTTATAACCATTCAACCCCGTCATCCCTTGGGGCGCTGTGGTGAACAAACGTTCCCCCAGATCCTGGTGGTCACCCCTGATAAACTTATAGGTGGCCATTAGATCACCCCTGCGCCTGCGCTTTTCCAGGCTAAAGA